ATATATATATATATAAACACACACACAAAAACATTTTTAAAAACAGCTGGGAATGTAGCTTGGTGGTAGAGCATTTGCCCAGTACAGGTTCAATCTCTAGTAATACACACACAAAATATAGCTAGATACCTATACTCAGTTACCTGGCAAGCTGAGGCACAAAGATCACTGAGGCCCAGGAATTCGAGAGAAGTCTGGGCAACATAGCCAGGCCTTGTCTCTAAATAAACACATTTATTCATAAAAATAAAATAGGGGCTTAGATGGATGATAGTGTCAACACCAAAGACAATGTTAAGAAAAACAAGTTTCCTCTAAGATGAAGACTTAAATTACATAAACTGAAAGTTATAAGAAATAACAAGGCTACAAATAAAGATGTCCAGGTAGTGAAGAGTGAAGGCCCAGTGGTAGAGCACTTGCCAACCATGAGCAAAGCCCTGGGTTCAATCCCTAACATGAGAAAGAAAAAGAAACAGATACAGACACACAGAGAAAAACAAAGACAAGGAGAATGGAATTAAAAATACTAGCATTTGGTATGGAAGCACAACTTTCATCTAGGAACATCAAAGCACATTCTAAACATCTATTAATTTTGGCCTTTCTAAACCTGTTTACTGCAGCAGAACACAAGTATGAACATGAGTACACTGCATCATTATGACACACAAAATAATTTAGAATATTTGTGGGGCTGGGGATATAGTTCAGAGGTAGATCACTTGCCTCGCATTTACAATGCCCTGCACATCAACAAAACCAGGCACAGTATAAATACATACATAGATACACATATGCATACATATATGTTAAATTTATGTTCAATGTTCAATAATTACAATAAAATGGAATAGCAAAAATTATTTTGCATGAAGAACTTCAGGATGAAAAGCGAAGTAATATCTCAATTTAAACTTCAATAACTGTAGTGCAGAAAAATTCAAAGAAGTACCAATTTTTTTATTCTATTAAGGATAAAGTCTAAGTAAAAACTACATAAAAGGTAGCCACTACAACAAAAGCATACCATTTTCAGCTAATTTATGTATACCCAATGTTTGATTTTAAAAAAAGTGGCGACAATGTGCTAGAAAAGACTGCAAAGTGAGAAGACAAAAAAACTCAAAATGTATAGTATACCTAGAATGTGTCAGTCACACTAATGGCTTCTTTTAAAGTTTTATGGGGCTCAGGTTGTAGCTCAATAGTAGAACATGTGCTTAGCATACATCTCTCTCTTGCTCACTCTCTCTCTCTCTCATACACACACACATACACAATCTTGGCTAACTCGTAGTAACCTTATGACATCA